TTGATGTATGAGTACTACAACTTATACGTAGATCGGTCTCCTTGCATAACATCATCTTAGAATGGTGATGAATGGGTTGGGGAGCTACTTGAAGAACACCTTATAAGATTAAGCGACATGTTTCGTATGACACAGCTCATATTTATAGATCTCCTAGATGAATTACATAGGAATCATGGACTTCATGGTTCTTCTAGAATGACAACCAGAGAAGTATTCGCAATAACCCTCTACATTTTATCACAGAATGAATCAATGAGATGAGCAATTTCAATATTCATCGGAGACAATCAGTAGATATTGTTTAGTGCAATTAAAGGCTCTTGTTAGTTTGTCATAAAAAATTATCAAGCCCGATGATCCAACATTTGAGAGGACTCCGATAAATATTGCACCTTATCCGTGGTAGATGTCACTTTTTAAGGTAAATCTTTTTACTTATTATATTTAAAAGTGAAAAATGAGTAGTGTAATTAACACAGTCTTCATTAATTTGTCAGAATTGTATTGTAGTGATTGATGAAACAAGGGTTGATGCACATCTATTCAATAATGAAATGGTCAAATTTATTGAGCAATTTGGATCACCAACACAAAATATGATGGTCGTATGTGATTTCAACAAGTGTTCTACTTTTTGTTATTGTTGGTTGGGAATGCACTTCAGATGACAATCGTATATTTGCTTTTGCGAAATGAAATCGAAAGCACAACTTCTCTCACTCACCTCTAGGTTTATTCAAATATTAATCATATTCAGATATTTTTTAAGTTCATTACTAATTATTATATATGTGACAGATAAATATTCTTTGATCAACGTTGGATATCCCTTACAAAAGAGGAATCTAAAGTCATTTCTGGATACCAAATATCACATTGACGATTTTGAAAGATCCAACAATGTTGCTCAAGACTGGAAAAAAACGTTTAATAAGTGACACTTCTCCTTATGCGGTGTAATTGAAAGAACATTTAGAGTATGGAAAAAAAATATGTCATGTTGCGTAATGTGTTGACATATTCATTTCCGAAACAGTTGCAGATTGTGGTGGCACAATTGCTCTCCACAAATATATTCGACGGCTTCATTCGCTAACTAACATATACTTCAGCATGGTTGACGATAATCATTTACACATCTCATTTGAAGCATTTGAATATCACATAGGATAATATATTTCCACAAGCATAAGTAGAATCACAAGAATGTTGCACTTAGTATAGCGAAGGTGCTGGAAAAATGATTGAATTGAGCGAGCGGATTACAAACGTCATTGTTGGATGTTGAATAGACTGATTCTTATTTATTTATAAAATTCATGATAATTTCTTTCCGTCTTTATTTGATATTGATTGTTTGGGTTTTTTTACGCTACTTGCAAGTATTTATTTTTCATTTTCATTTCTTTAATTTTTGTTTTGACAGGTTTGAGAGGTTCATGTTGAAACATTTGAGCTTATGGATTCTTTTGAATGCTCTGTTAGTCGTTGTTAGTTGGTGTCACATGTGAAATCATAATGAAAGCAACCAAATTCCTCACTTTATTTGGTGTTGCAGTTTTTTAGGCTTTTCTGGATGGTCTTTTTTGTGATATGCATATGTGACACACACGAGCTTGGTATTACGTTAATTAAAGGCAACCGAGAATTTTTTTTTTACAATGTCCGATGTCTTCTTGTAGTGACAGATTCGTTGGGTGGGATAATGAGTTCTCTTAAACCTCACCTGCATAAAACTATAATTAATTACTTTTTAATCAATTTTTACTTCTGTTATGACTAATGAATTGTTTTTTAAAGCATTCAGGAAAGATGAGCTCAAGAATTTTTGGGACTTCCCGAAGATTATTGTGTCGCTATGGACTTCAGAGTTCTGTGCTGGCATTGCGTTAGTCACATAACTACAGGAGAGAGTGTTACAAGTGCCCGCGGAGAATGACGGAGAAGTATGAATTCTTCCGGTGGGCAAACAGGCAGGCAGATTCTGCCGCCGAGAGTGATCAAGAATGAATAGTATCCCTAGAGGACGGCGCAGCTCGTGACATGCGCCGTCTGCATTTTAAAAATAATGTTATTATATCATTAAATGTTATTTTAATAGTTTTTTTCATTAATTTAGTAATTATGATACTCACTATTAAGTGAGGTATATATCTGAAATGAATGTTTACTTCTGAAATATCAAATATATTAGTATGACAGTTCTGTTACAAACATCATTACTACACATGGGCAGAATGATTATTTGTCCAGAAACAGCTGCAGCACAGCTGTTTTCAAACTACCAAAAACAAGCAGTCAGTCAGTTTATCCGTAACAGTTTTTGCACAGCTGCTTCCTGCGGTAGCTGTTGCATGACAACTTATTAAAAAGTTGTAGCTGCCTCAAACAAACCCTTAGTTTTTTATTAGTTATGATTGTTTGGTATAAATAGGGCTTATTATGCTTTGGGCTAAGGAGGCTATGAGATTGTTGTCTTGAGACTTAAGGTTAAGGTTTGGGAGAGATCGCCTACTTCTCGAATTATAGGTGTTAGGGTTTAGGTTTAAAAGAGATCAACTGTCTTTCAAATTGCAGGTGCTTATCTTTATGTATTGGAGTTGTGTTGCTATCTTTTATTGAAATATGATATTTGGTTGTCCTCATTATTGTGGAAAACTTCTCGTGTTATAAAATGGTATCAAAGCAGGATGAAGTCAAAGATGGGATCGTGGATGCCTTTGTGACACCCTACAATCGTGATTGAGATAGCTGGGAAGCAACGTGGATGTCTTCGTGATGCGATAGACCTGCAATACAATTGTGAGTGCCTCCGTGACAGGATACAATGGTGATCGAGAGTGGCAGCTAAGTTGGAGTGGCCGCTATCTAAGGCAATGAAGAGGTTGAGAGAAATTTTGGGACTTACAAGTTAAAACTAGAAGTTCGTGAAGGGTTGTAATTCGATTGTGTGGCTGTTGACAGAGAAATTGAATAATGATAACTTTCGGTGCGGAAAAGCGGTAATCCAGATTTTTGAGAAGTTAAAGAAGGTCGTGATGAGCGCACAGTGTTGATGTTACCTGATTTTAATCAACCTTCCATTGTAGATATGGATGCTTCGAGTTTTGGATTAGGCACAGTCCTCAAGCAGTGTCAACGAATCATCACTTATTTTAATCAAGTGTTGAAGATGAGAGTCAAACTCAAGTTAGTTTATGAGTAGGAGTGGGAGCCACATGACTTGATCCAGCGGCAGTTTCCTTTTTTCACCATGAGGGACAAGATGTCTTTTTGGAAGGGGAGCAATGTTAGGCTGGCAATTTAGTTTTTTATTAGTTATTATTCTTTATAATAAATAGGGCTTATTATACTTAGGGTTAAAGAAGCTATGAGATTTTTGTCTTGAAGTTTTAAGATTAGGATTTGGGAGAGATCTCTTACCTCTCAAATTGTAAGTGTTAGGGTTAGGATTTAGAAGAGATCGCCTAACTTTCGAATTGTAGGTGCTTATCTTTATGTATTGGAGTTGTGTTGCTTGGTGTTATTGAAATAAAACGTATGGTTGCCTAATTTCTGTGTAAAACTTATCTGGTGCTTATCAGAAATATTACCATTGCATTTTAGTGAAGGAGCATGCTTTTCCCTTTACGCCAAACCAAAAAAATATAAAAACTTAAAAAAAGAATAGTTACTCTATATCTACTTTGTCGGCAAGCAAACAACTTTTGAGTTTTAAGAATACATTGTTTATTCTTATTTTGCATTTTGAAAATAAATATATTCTTAATACTTGCAATGAACAAACCCTAACATAATTTGGTAATCTGCCCTTTTCTAACATGATATTAAAAATTTTATAAAGAACATCGATGTGTAATTATAAAGCAAAAAACACTTAAAGAGAGTTATTGTGGCATTAGTTTATTTAGAATGTCTATTTTTCAATTTACGAAAAAAATTTCCTCATAATTTAGGATGCCTCTAAGACTTCTTGGTGCATCATGAACACTTTTTTGGAAACATTACAAACTATTATTTTAATTGTGAGAAAAATGGTTTTTCATGTTTGATTAAAAATGGCAAACTTAATTTAAACATCCACAGTAGTTATGAAAGTAATTTACAATTTAATATTCAACATGTGTGACATGTCATACTGTGATGCGTCCATGATGTCATGTCAATATTTCAATAGAATAAATATGTTAAGCCGTTGTACAAAAGTGAATCTTCTAAAATCTCTTGAGCCCTTCCCATCCATCACAAATTTTCTCTTACACCTTCACATCTCTCATTAGATGTGGGATAGCTGTCAAGTAGAATAATTTCTCTGCTTCAAACAAAGCCTCGCAGGGAGGAATATTTACCCCTTATCTCAAACCTTGCCTAAATATTAGAAATTGGAAATCATGCATAAGGCTTCATTTTCATACTCTGAAAAGAAAACCGTACACGAGTTGGGATCAAATCAGCAAGTGCACAACAACATACTCTCACTCATAGACCTTTGCTTTGTGGGCAAGATTCGCCAACCAAAGGTAGTAAACTGTGATATAAGAAGTAAATGAAGTAAGGAGTGCATGTAGAATGTGGTCAGCCTCTTCAGATGAATAATCAAAACTTCAATATTAAAAGTAGCATACAAGAAAATACATATATAAAGTTTCATTTGCATTGTAGAGTTAGTCTGTGAAGAAAACGATGACGTTCATATAAACATATAACATTTATATGTACATAGATTTGATAGACACAGATAAGTAAAGCATGATGTATAAAATAATGCTCTTTATCATGGGTTCTAATCATTTACAGTATTCAAAAACATCCAACAACACAAATTAAAATCAAAACATAATAACTACAATAACTGCACAGCAGCATATATTCAAAAACAAAACAAACCCTTGACATGAAAGGTGAATGCCATAAAAAAATTCAAGCATTCAACAATGTAAGACGAAAATAAGCATCAGACTCTAAAAAGATGCACATAGGGGCCGACAAACCCGCACCTCGCGCTTGCGAGTCCTCTCATCGCACCTCGAAGGGAGAAATCCAGCGGGTCGAAGCAATCTAGCAGATAACGAATGCCAGAACTTGCACTGAGCTCGCCGAAAGGTAGAATATGGACTTCAAATCACTGTCAATCGTCGCCGTAATATGCAGGCTACCTTCCGCTGGGGATCCAGATTGTGAGGGAGAATCGAAGAGAACTTTCGGGCCCTGTAGAGAGCCTGCCAGAAAGAAAAAAAGACAGAATCTTAACTCCCGTTTCTCCTCCCTATTTCCTTAAATCCCAAAGTTGGTAAATCCGTAAGGCGGGTTTACAGGATTTAGAGAAACTGAAGCACGCGGAAGAGGGTAGGGGTAAGTCCGAGAGTTACCTTCTTTACTTTTATGTCAGAATCTTTCTTCTCCTTTGTGCTCGCCGCTGGTCCCGTCAACGCCGTCTCCAGCTCGCGGCTGCCGTGATTTGGGTAGGAACGAAGGAAAGGCGGCAGGGTTCCGGTGCTTTGGGTCGGATCGATGGAGTAAAAAATATTACATCATTAATTAGAAATACCATCAGTACCCAATAAAATAACGTCAAGCCTAACCGGAGAAAAAAAACGGCGGAGAAGAACGTATTATTTATATATTATTGTGTGTTATTCATGTGTTATTATGTGTTATTTATATGTTATTGATGTGTTATTGTTTTATTATAACACTAAGAATATTCTTAGGATACAATAACACATGAATAACACACAATAATACTTGAATAACACGGGGAATATTCCCGACAGAGAAAAAAATGACGCAGTAACACGGGAAATATTTTTTCCCTTGTTATTCATGTGTTATTGTGTGTTATTCATATGTTATTGATGTGTTATTGTGTTATTATAACACCAATAATATTTCTAGGACACAATAACACGAATAATACACAATAACACATGAATAACACGGAGGGGAATATTCTCCATGTTACTGCGCCGTTTTTTTTTCTCTGTCGCGCAAGGTGTCGTGGCGTTATTTCATTGGCTATGCATGTTTATCTACGTGCGGGGGACGTGCGTAATACTGATGTAATATTTTTTTCTCGATGGAGAGGCATAAAACTAAACATTATAAATATTTTATTGATTGGCCAACCAGAAATTATTATTTGCGGCTAATCGCGCTTGTCCTTGTGGTCGCCCTGGTGTATAGTACAAGAGGCTATTTCGACCACATCAACAACACATACGAATTTCGCACTTAATAATTTCTCTTTGTTAAGAGACAATAGTTGTCCCGCCTTAAGGAATCAGAAAAAATATTATTTACTCGGTTTGAAAGTGTGGATTACAGAATTGATCACATGATGTTGTCTGTTGATGGTGTGATGCAATTCACATCGTCAATCACATATTTGATTTATCAGATGTAATATTTGTTCATGAAATTGACCATAAACTTCTCTCGCATCTCATGATCTTGATTTCTGGCTCTCAGCTTCTTGAGAGTTGGAAATTACTCACTATTTGAGAAAAAGCAACAATAAGACTCACCCACGAGTAAAAAAACATAAACATAAATCATGCTGAGAGAACCAATGAACCAGATTAATCCAGCCAACAAGGAATCCATTGCGCGCAATCTTCCGTTCACTTCGTCCCCATTAGAAATCGATTAATTCAAACAAATACGCAAAAAAAAAAAAAAAAAAAAAAAATCTAATTTCACAAAAATTAAAACGATGATAGGTGAAATTTCTTACATGATGGATGGGAAAAGGCAAGCACTAGAAATAACAATGTGAATCTACGCATCCTTATTGTTGAATCTAAGCTCCTATAAATGCTCTTAGACAGTTGTTGAAATAATAGGAAACCAAATAAAACCATCAATTAAAACAACAACATGGCCATGTGGTGGGTGGTGTTTGAAATCATCATGTGCAAAACTAAAGGAGTGCTAAATACGTAAATAATGATGTTTGGGTGTGGAATATGTAATTTATAATGTTTTGAGTGCCGTGTATTTTCCATTTTTTTATAGATTTAGATTTTTTAAGTAAATTTTTAATTATTAAGATTAATGGCTATTATTCAAAATTAATATGCTTAGGGCATAAAGCTATATTAGTATTAAATATAACTTTCATTCATCCAATGATCTTTTTGGCTTTAATTCTAAATATAGAGCAAAATTTATAATTTTTTAATCTTAAATTGTCCTTTGTCAACACACCCCAAGAGTTTATGATTGAGAGAATAATGGAAAAGAGAAAAAAAGTATAGCCAGTCAGGAGTTTTCTGCAGAGAGAATCGGTAAAATAACATTTTTTTTTTTTGTATCATATTTATAGATGTGTATTTTGTACAATTATAAAAATGAGGGAGAAGTTATGGAAACCGCCCTTTAAGACAATTGATGTTCTAATTAGTTGTATGGATTTCATACTATAAGGATATTACAATTTGAATTTTAATATGACGGTAATTTGGCTAGTCGACTTGCTTGAATTTGGCCAACTGAGGCGACCGGCTGAGTGGCGACCGTGTCATAGGTCGGTCGGCTGAGGCGCTCAGTTGAATGTCGATGTCGTCTGCCACGGCAAATCCAGAACGGTTGATTAGTTATGATCAAGGATTCCCACCTACGCCTTAGTTGGTCGGGACTGTTGGCATGATATGTTGTTTGAATCTCTCACCATAGTGTATTGGTCAATTATTGACCACTCAGTTTGCAGAATTTTGTTTAAAGAGATCTAGAAAATAATCTATAACTAATTTAAAACCTGCTTAAAACACTACAAGCTCATCTTTAAGATCAAAATACTAAGTTCCTTAATTAGACCAAATTGCCCCTAAGAGTCTTTACTTATATAATTTATAAATAAGACATCAAGTGATAATTACTCTATCCTTGGGGTTGGTTAGAGCATCAGGTCATTGAGCATAAGGGTATAATCGAGATGAGTTATTAAGCAACATAATAAATTTGAATAAACTCGGGACTTTTCAATGGATTGTGAGATGCCTGGGGTCTGGTCCCTGGACTCTTCTCATACTCTTTTGGGTATCTTGAAGTATGATTAAACACATTATGCCTTGCTTGAAAAATCATCTATACACTTAAATAAATAGTACCCATTAGGATATGACATAGGATATGATAAACACGCCTTGAACTTGTACTTCCTACTTTTTTTACAAGCATGCTTTAATTCCTGCAAAACTATATACATATGCCTTGCAAGTACTGAACTTTCAGGTGGAGGAACGAGAGGACTCGACAGGTACGCTTTTATAGCTTACAACATCTTCTTTTCCTGCACTTTCTTTATTGTACTATTCCTGCTTATGAACTTGCATGTTAAACAACGATGTCACCCTGCATGTCAAAACTAAAACTTTTAGAATAGCCACATGATTGAAACGAAAACAAAAAATTTAAAAATCAAACAAGATAAAATTCACCGCCACAATATTTAAAATATAAGACAACTATAAATTTAATCACAAACATCACAAAACCAAAACTGCAACTAAATTAAAATATTTTTATCGGATGATCGGGAATCCCTCAGAGAAGGTAACTTACGGTTGCTAACAAGATTTCTCATGATCTAAATGAAAGTATAAAGCTCATTAAGTTGAGTTTAGTAAATTCATTTAGACTAAGTGCATCCGAAAGAAAATAGTGGTGCAAAAACGAGGGAACCATGAGATCCTAATTAGTGTCGCTCTAATTAACTTTAATATTCCCCATAAAATTTAAATAATCATAACTTTAAGAAATAATTGATCTGACATCATGACTTGATATACTAAAAATGTGACTTCTAAAATATGATATTTTTCTCATCTCCTCAATTGACATTTCTAAAATTAAAGTCTGCTACTTCATCGAGGAGCTTGGAGCTTTCCTGTGAGCAGCACTGCTCTCTTCAATAACAGAACATGTCTACATCAGCTAAATCATTATTTAGAATTAAACAACAAACCATATGATTTTGAGATTGTTTGTCTAATGCAACATAAATCCTCAATTGTTCCTTATGCCTTTGCATAATCATGTTGTGCAATATAAGCTCTAACTCGTTTTAGGATTCCGAGGTTGTCGTTCGTTACGACCTAAATCCTTATATCTTGCAGGTTGTGCGAGCGTCTCACACAAGTGTAAGCCCTAATTAATAAATTGGCAGGATGAAATATTCTATAATTCTAATCTCTAAAATTGAAGCCAAACTGTTGGATAGCTCGGAAAGTCACCGAGGTTATCTTCAGAATCTATGACACCCCTTAGTCTTTCTTCCTTTAATTCTATAATAAAATGTTCCAAATTTGAGTCATTACTCTTTCACACCTCTTTGTCCGATCTCGTTGAAAAGTCCTATCACTTTGAATTCCTTGAAGAAAATATCCCCTCATTTTTATCGAGAGTTTTCTTACGCGACTTCGGTTGTCTATGATGTAATTAACTGTAGAAGTTTGCCCTTATAGGAAACATTTCTGAACCCAGCTTAATATAAACCCTATTGAATCCTTCATATTAAATAGAAAAACTTGTCGGCTTATAATAAAAAAAATGGTTTCGCAGACTTAAAGAATATCATACAATATTTAGTTTATTTAATCGAGTCTTACCAGTAAGTAGTGTGTTTATCCTTCGGGATGAATATACTTGCAATATTTGACTCGTTTATTTAAACTATTGGGGATATGAGATCGGCCCGGTCTTGTATTTTCCAAAATCTAAAATACTATTTTTTTCTAAATTATATATATTAAATTAAATTATGCACAAATGAACTTGTTGTACGAAGAGGGCCACAGTCGATAGTGATCGACGACAGCTAGCGAGTGTTGGTCGGTGATGAGCGACGACTGGTGGTCGGTGACAGTCGACGATGAAGTAAAGTTGAACTTCAACTCATTCTTTAAGCTTCAGTCATCCTCATACTTCAAGCTATCTCCTATCAAGAGAGAGGTGGGGCTCTATTTATAGATTATTGTTTGCAATTAGTGAAGGAATATGAACCATTTTAATCAGACAGTCCGGAGAGATTCCCTTGATCAAACGATACTTGATAGACATTTGAGTGTTTCATATTGTTAGAATTGAGTGATATAGAGATTATTGTTTTGTCTTGTCGAGATGCTCGGATCTACTATAAGTTAACCAAATTCGACATTTGTTTGACTTTCCAAATTTACTAAAAAAGTTTCAAAGGGTGACTTGATGACTTGTTATGAGCTTGATTTGACTTCGATTGAACCAATTTTGATATCATTAAGTCTGTCTCGTTGAGCCGGTCAATTTGACTTTAAGTTTGCTGAAATTGAATCTTAGGATGTGTTCAAGTGATTATCTCGAGTTCTGTGTCATATCTCATGATTTATGATTTATGCTCAACGACGAGAAATTGTTGATGTCATATTAAGGATAATTGCCTTAAATACATATTGAAAGATCAACTATACGAATTTGATAGAGATGCTACGTCCATCACATAATTTATTAAAAATAAATATTCTAAAATCTCAACCATAGGGCTCCTCTTTATTTATCTTCTTATATGGAGTTATTCCTTCAACCTTCTAACCGTGGCCGTTCGATAGCTGAATTAAATAATAGATTTTTCTATCCATTTGGGATGATTACAACTATCATTAAGTTTAATTATCAATTAAATTATGGATTACAACTATCATTATGATTACAACTATCATTAAGCGACGGACAACAATGGCGTGTGTTAAAATTTTGTTTGATTAAATAATAGATTTTTTCTGCTGTCATAATCTGATAAAATTGACCGTAAAATGATTTTATTTATCATAAATTATAAATGTAATAAAAATATATAGAATAAAATTATGAAGAAGATTATTTATTTTCCAACAAATTCTTATGATAAAAAATATTCAGTAAAAATATAAGTGCTTATTTAAATTATATTTATTTTTTCAAATTTTAACCTTAAAAAAATTATAATCAAAATTATGTTTGAAAAAAAAAGGTTTTTAAAAACAAAATCAGAGAATTATAAATCGTAGTTGCTGGCCAGAAAAATAATAATTACATTTCATATCATCTATTTAATCACAGGTGAGATTGAGACAAATCTGTTCCAATACCAATGGCCAATCCAGACGGAGCCCATCTGCTCCAAGGCCGCTCCTTTCGTCTCCGGCACGAACCAGTAAGCGAAACCAGTCATCCCCATCACCCCTCCCGCGAACACAAAGAAGAGTCCCGCTTTTAGTCCGCAGAGCAGCGCAAGCAGGCTCTGCGCCACCGCGAATGCCGTCAAGAAATTAACCGAAACATAAACGCTCTGCGCCGCCGACCGTATCTCCATCGGATATATCTCGCTGGTCAGCAGCCAAGCCATCGATCCCCACGACCACCCAAATGCAGCCAAGAAGACGCACACCAACCCCACCACCACGTACGCGTCCTCCTTCCTCACCGCTCCTTGATCATGCATTCCCGCATTAAGCATCGCACCCAGAGCCACGTGAGCTCCCAACATCACCACCCCTCCCGTGAAAAACAGAGCCCGCCGGCCCACTCTGTCCGCCAGCACCATCGTCGCCGTTATGGTAAAAATAAAACTGATGAGCCTCGTGACAACAGCCGACAAGAGCGCCGCGCTTTCCTTCTGCCCGATTGTCCGGAACATAACTGGGGAGTATACATTCACCGCGTTGATGCCGGTGGTTTGAAAGAAAACAGGGATGGCTACGGCCATCACGATATGCGGGCGATAATTTCTTCGAAGCAGGAGGAGGAATGGGTGTTTGGTGGAGACGGCCTTGGTGGCTTGGGCTGAGGCGGCGATGAGGTTTTCGAATTCGTCCTTCACGTCGACATTGGTGCCGCGGATGTTTTGGAGGAGAAGGCGGGCCTGATGGTGATCGCCGCCGCGTTGGATGATGCTACTGGGTGTCTCGGGGAGGAAGATGGCGGCGATGATGAGGAAGGTGGAGGGGATGGCGGCGGAGGAGAGTGAGATTCTCCAACCCCAGCCGGCTTTGATTTTCTGAGTGGCGAAGTTGACGAGGTTTGAGATGAGGAGGCCGAAGCTTATGGAGGCCTGGAAACCGCCTGATATGGCTCCTCGACGTGCAGGGGGGGCCATTTCTGAGAGGTACAGTGGAATCGACTGAAGCCGTGCACAGTGTTTGTTTGGAGGACCAAATAAGTGAATCAACATAATTAATCACATATACATGCAAAGTTAAAGACTCCATATAAAGTAAAAAGATTAAAAGCTCCTTAATTTATCCACAAATTACCTGATTGGTGAATCCAACGGCAAACCCATGCAATATTCGAGCCAGAATGAGCATGTAAACATTCACGGCCGCTCCGCCCATCGCCGTTCCCGCCAAAAACAGAGCTCCTCCGATGAGCATCGATGGCCGGCGGCCGTACTTCTCCGTTACCCGCGAAGCAAGCAGAGAGGAGAAAAGCCCTGAGATGTAAAGACAAGAAGTGAATGCCGTCAGTACTTGGCTGTTAAACTGACAGTAGTTTCTGACACGAATATTGTCTCGCTCCATCTTGGCGTAGACGTCCGGAAAGAATTTGTTGAGAAACGAAGCCGTTGCCGTCACTTCGCCTGCGTATAAGTACTTGGTTATGATTGAATATAGGATTAACTGAATAACTAACTAATAAATTGAATGCCTGAGATGCCGAGGTGGAAGCCAAACAGCATGCCGCCGGAGGCACCCACCACGCATGATAAGGTGACGATGGGGGTGATACCGCCGCCGTAGACCACGGCGGTGGATTTGGAAGAAGAAGAAGGTGCGGTGTTAGAGATGGGCATGTTGGGGGATAAGTCTCCTGCCATTGATGGATGGAATGCGGTGAGGAGAAGTGAGCCACCGAGTCCTCCGTCGACGGAAGATTTATTCCAATGAAACCAAAGTGGCGGTCCCCAAGGCCATGGAAGGATTAAAGGGCCTTTACATACATTCAACAATCAACACTCAATTCTTATGTATAATACGATTTAAACTTTACTTTCTTATATTTATTCCCCCCAAATATATAAATATTTTTTAATTCATAGATAATTATTTAATTATTTCATGTCCTAACATATCTAGAAAATTCTAAATGAATTTAGTTGCAAAAATACCAAGAATAAGTTTCATGATAGTTGGATCTATAATTCTTCATGAATTAGTATAAATAAGCCTCATGTTTTGCCATTTTTTATAAGCTAAAATGAAGAACAAATGGTTTAATACAAGTTTGATTATTTTCTTCCTCCATCATATATTGTATCAAAATGCTAACAGAGAAAGGTTTATGAGAACATGGCTAGCAACATGAACCTCGAAGTGCCTCTTCTCATGAAGAAGATCTATGAGAATTTGAGTATGCAAATAAAGGTGTTGTTTGGCTCGAAAAACAGTTTAGGAGGTATTCAAAAGAAAGCTGCATTATTGGCATCCCAAAGTGACCCTTTGTAGGAAAGTATAAAGAAGAAGAACGTCCCCCATTTCATTTATGAAGTCTACACATCCATTGACAAAATATTATGAAGCAAATTAAGCCATGAACTCCTCCATTGATCATGTAACTTCCCGTATTTTATTATCAGTGTGGTTCTTACAAAGTAAAAATAATTGAATCAATGATCATAAAAATAAATTGTTGTAATTAAGTCATATTATTTTTTTGGTTTATTTAGATTGTTAAAAATTACCATGTTTTTTTTTTCTTAAATTGTATTTAAGAAAAATGTTGGGGAGATATCATAGATGTTTTATCTTTCAAAAAATTTTAGCAAAAAAATTAATTTTAGATACCTGTCTATATTAGATCTAGCCATACAAAGCTTATTTTCACTACCAGAATAAAAAAAAAAAAAAAGAAAGAAAGAAAGCAAAAAAGTTTGCAATCCAATAAAAGTGTGGCTATTATTTAAAAATAAGATCGAGAATAGACTACTTCATGAAGACCTTTAATCTAAAAAGTGTGGTCATTATTTAAAAAATAAGGTTTAGAATAGACTACATCAAAATTATTTTGATTGAAAATTGTATATCAAAATTTTTTTTTAACAAAAGCTATTTTGCTTCCTATCATCTATACTGTTACTTTTTACATAATAATTATTAAAAAGATAAAAAGTGGGAAATAGAGGAAAGAAAAGAACTTTATATGATTTTGTTTCACACAATTCATTTATACAAACATAAAATCACGATCATTTAGGTTAAGTTAATCAAATCAAATTACACACTTGAATAGGTCAGGCTCAGGCTCAGCAAGTCCTAAACACTAAAATAATTTTGTAAAATATAAAGTCACCTAAGAGAAACACTTGTTAAGTCACAAATGCATGCTAGAACTATGATTAAGTATGTTTTATTTTAATATAATTTTAAGTTAATTTTATGCATTTGAAAGGTTTTTGTGATGTATTTTACAGAATTCATGCTAGAAAGTTATTGAAAGCTTAAGAAGTAGAAAATTGAGCAAAGTAGAGGAGTAGCGCCTAGGCAACGACATGGGGTGCCTATGGCAACCAAGAAGCATTTTTGAGCCAGAATGATAAAGAAGTTTAAAAGTAGGCACTAGGTTGGTGGCACTATTAGACACCATGACTTAAGAGCCTAGTGTCACGCTCCGCGACATTCGAGAAATCATCGAGACAAACAGAGAATGGAAGATTCTAGAGAAGGTCCGAATATGAGGAGTCATCAAAGGGGCTCTAGAAGATTCCACCACGTTCAGGGGAGAGCAAGAAGGAAAAGCTCTAAAGAAGATCTAAGAATAACCTAGAATGTTCTAGAGTTATTTATGTACATTAGAATAGTCTAAGAGATAGAATATTATATTGTAATCTAGAAGCTTCTCTTAGACATTGTATAGTCCCACATTGGCTAGATGAAAGGCCAAAGGCATGGAGGAGGCTATAAAGAGGAGCTCCTCCCCTCATTTGTATTGACCCAAGCATTGAATCAAAGCATTCTAGTATTCAAGTGCTAATTATTCCTTTCTCTCTATTCTTCTTCTTAAGAGTGCTTGGGGCTGCTAAGTCCAGTGTTGTGAGTGATTAGGCTGATTTAGTGCTAAGAGAGAGCGCTAAAGCCGCACGGGTGACTTGACGAAAGTTAGTCCGTGACAACCCGATCATGTGTTATGTAATTTTATTTGATTGATAAGATTAATGTTTACATCACTGCTTTGTCAAAAATAAAAATACAAAAGTAATTCTAAATGTTGAATATCTAAAATGTGTGTGCCTCAGAATCCCTTGGCTCATAACCAATATTTGTTTATAAGACAAAATTAAATTTTCAATTCATAATTTACTTTTAGATCGACACTTGAAAATAGATTGACATATGATCGATTTATTATAAATCTAGACGTAACAACTAAATTAAAAAAAAAAATTATAATTAAGTTCCAGAGTATCTAACAACCTGTTTGGGGCAACTTATTTGGTGCAGGGCATTCTGAAGACACTGATGAAGCATTTGGAAACAACAGCTAAGCATTTGGAAACCACAGCTCGGTAGCGTTGCTTAAAAATTTATGTTAAACGCGGGTAATAGTTCCCGCAACCCGTATTTCTTTGCAAACCTATCACTCGTATACCCCTCTCGGTGCTCCCATCTCACTGCTGCCCTCTCTCTCACGTCTCTTCTGCGCTATGTCATGCCTCTCTCAATCGCTCCTCTCTTGCACCTCTCTCCGGTGTCAATGAGTTGCCTTTCTCCTTTCTCGCTTCCCTTCGATTTCTGGTGGCAACAAGTTGCCCCTCTCCTCTCCCTCTTCCCTCCGATGTCTGACCCTCTATATGTTTATTGTGTTCTTCATCGTTCAACAACATCACTAATTTTTTTTTTATGAAATGACTCTCTCTGCAATTTTTGGCTTTCAATTGATGCTTCCAAGGAGCGGTGGACGGAGAGACTGCCGGTGAGCATTTTTGAAATGTCCCAAATTTTTGCTAATTTTTAAATTGTTTTCAAATACAAAAACATGTTATATAAATTTGTAGGCGGTGCCTGCTGCGAATAAATCTAAATACAGTGGAATCGATCTTGAGCTGGAGGAGAAGTTGGCGAACCTTGATGAAGTTGAGTCCACGGGTAGGCTAAAGTGCCCCCAGGTTGAAAAAAGAAGAGGGAGTTGCTTTTCTTAGAAGTCAAATCTCACAGTTAGTCGCTTCATCCACTAATGACCCCAACCTATCACAAGCAACTTCTATCCATAAGATTATGCAAATTCTGGAGGCAACTTCAGAAATTTATGAGGACATGCCACTATATTTTTTCTATGAAGTTGCTTGAAGATTCGACCTGGAGAGAGTTTTTCATGACAAAGTCCACCGACTGTAGAGTAGCTTAGCTACGCTATTTTCATAGGAGCAGTGAAATTTGAGGGACACTTTTTTTAGTAGGTTATTGTATGACATTTCATACTTCTTATTTGTTTATTTACTTTGAACATTTTTATTTGCTTATAGTATTACAAACAACATTACTATACAGAGGAAAAATAATCATTTATCCAAAAATAGCTGCAACACAACTGCTTTTAAACTGTAAAAAAAAATAAAATGTCAGCTTCTGCATAGTAGCTTCTTATGGTAGCTGCTGCACAACATGTTATTATTAAGATAAACCTGCTCCAAACAAACCCTAAATTCCAATTTCAAAAAAGTTATAATAAATCTAAATTTCTCATTGAGACAAGCCCAAAAACATTTAAAAGGTTCCAATTGATTCAAACTAAGAGCACTTGAAGCCTAGTTTAAAATTTCATCAATTCCTCATCAAATCTTAATCATGTTCCTACAACTAAAATAGGAATTTGATGAGTCCAAGATCACTTATTTTAAAGTTATTAAATTATTAAACATGATCAAAAGAATTTGTATGCGTTGTCGGAAAGACTGGTCTAAAAATTTAGCCAAATTTATAAAATATTGGTTAAGAGAAAAAAAAAAAGAACTATCGCCAGACCCCAATTCTCCACATAAAAATGACCTTGGCTTAAATATAAAGAGAGCTTAAAGACCCTAAGAACTCTAGAGCTTAACTAGGCATTCGACATCGAACGTCAAAAGTGGTCTGATTACAATTCCCATCCCATTTTCATCGCCTAACTTCTTAGCCTATTGTCACGCTCCGCGACATTCGAGAAATCATCGAGACGAACAGAGGATGGAAGATTCTAGAGAAGGTCCGAATATGAGGAGTCATCAAAGGGGCTCTAGAAGATTCCACCATGTTCCGGGGAGAGCAAGAAGGAAAAGCTCTAAAGAGGATCTAAGAATAACCTAGAATGTTCTAGAGTTATTTATGTACATTAGAATAGTCTAAGAGATAGAATATTATATTGTAATCTAGAAGCTTCTCTTAGACATTGTATAGTCTCACATTGGCTAGATGAAAGGCCAAAGGCATGGAGGAGGCTATAAATAGGAGCTCCTCCCCTCATTTGTATTTACCCAAGCATTGAATCAAAGCATTCTAGTATTCAAGTGCTAATTATTCCTTTCTCTCTATTCTTCTTCTTAAGAGTGCTTGGGGCTGCTAAGTCCAGTGTTGTGAGTGATTAGGCTGATTTAGTGCTAAGAGAGAGCGATAAAGCCGCACGGGTGACTTGACGAAAGTTAGTCCGTGACACTAGGCTCTACATATGGGTGCGTAAGTACCAAAAATCCTTTAATGTAAACTGAGCAGATGGAAAGGGTACGTGTTGGATCTTCAACGCTTAAGTGAACCAATTGTGCCTAGGCACCACAAATCAACACCTAGATGCCAGCTTACTCGTTTTGGTGGTTTGAGTAGTTTACAGGCATTCAAATGAATATATAAAAAACCTTACGCCAAAGACTTAGAGGATTCCATATTACGATTATATATATATATATATATATATATATATATATATATATATATATATATCTTTATTAAACATATATATATATATATATAGTGATACGAAGCCGAAGTGTGAGAGAGTCCAAAGTGGGGTGTTTGTTAGGGCTTTGAGTGTGTAATTGTTCTTGTACACTCAATACAACATTTGGAAGAGGAAGACAAATAATTGTTCAATTTTTTTAATAAATTCAATCGGGTTTTACCTTTTCAATTCTTGTTTTTTTTTTTATAATAAATGAAATGTTATTTGTTTTGTCTCCATGCATGCTTAGAGAGTAGAACTTTTTTTATTCCTTGAATTGGTAATGCAAGAATTATAAATTTGATTTTTATGATGAATTCAATTGTACTTTTTAAGATCTAGCATTTTAACTTTTAAATCTTTATTTGCCTTCAATCTGACTAGCTGAGCTGTTAAAGATTGCTGTGATCTTTGAGTTTCAAAAATATAAATATTTCTTATAAATTAGTACAATTCTAAAGGGAAATAAGGAATACTGGGCTAATTACAGGATTTAGGTGTTGAACATGTGTGGTTATCAAACCTTCTTTGATGTCCGATAGGGGATAAGAAGGAGAATTGCTTACGATTGTCACCGACAATTTAAATCACTTAGTCATACTTAGGTTCTTGTAGAACCAATTCATGGGAGAAATTTTAAAGCATTAGAAAACCTCATTGCATTCTCACCTCGTTAACTTAGGTTTCACTTTTTCTAAAATTAGGATTTGTAACTTTACCAAAAAAAAATAAAAAAAAATAAAAATAAAAAAAAAAAAAAACTTTGAACTTTCAAACTAGATTCAAAACTAGTTAACTAGAACATTTTTTTGGAATTCAAGAGTTTGCTCGTTCCTTGTGGGATCTACACACGGACTCAATTTCATATACTAGTTGGTTGGCACGTATACTTACGTGTGTCACTGGTGATTAGTATCATTTATTTTGTATTAATCAACTGATTTATAATACTTGACTATGACAAATTGTTTTAAGGAGAGAACTGATTTGGCCATGAAATTATAAACTCATCATAGATACTTGCTTTTAAGCAAAATTATTTGAAGAATTGATCACCAAAATAACTAGCTAACTTAACTAAAAAAACACAAACTAATAGAAGTTGTACCACTAAACTCAAATCCAATGTTAAACTTTACATAATTCACAAAGTGTTTAATAAATATATAACAAAAAATACTTATTCATTTTACAAAATGCATTATCACACATTTCTATAAAATTTTTCTTATATTATTAATTCAATCATTCATGAAACATTAAATTTTGACCTAAACTATAAATGAGGGGCTAGATAATGTATTCAACATTTTGTAACTTGGTCATGTTGCATTATTATTGTATTCAATTTCTAAAAATATAATAAATTTTTTATAATAGCTCTCTTTAAGCTTGTATTTCAATATATACTCCCTTTTCAAATTCAAAATTATATTCATTAATAAGATCTTAATATCATCAATGATTAGATTGGAATTGAAAAACCTAATTTTTTTGATAAGTATGAATAATATATAGAACAAAATCCCAAGCCACGAAGCATCAAAAGAGGCTAACCTCAAAAAACAACATGATTTTATAACTACCAAATATCCCAATCAAACAAAAAACTAATAATGTAAATTAGAATTTGTTAAGTGAAAGAAGTAAGAAGAATGTTTGCATTAGCGGTCAAGTGAAAGATCATTGTTCTAAAGATTTGCTTCATGAGGAGAAAAAAGTATAGAAGAAACTCACATATAAATTATAAAATTTTAAATTGATTTGGCTAATTGAAATATATTTTTTGTTGGATTTACTAAGAGTTTTGAAATAAAAATAATAATCTCTCTTTTGATTTGTCAATAAATACAAGAATATGTGATCTAATGTTGCTTTCATTTATGTTGATTTTTCTTAACGTTTGTGGCTAATTGTTATGATTTTACATGTATATGTAGACCATTTCGCTAATGATCATATGAGAGTGGTTGCACTTCTTTGTTCATGTTTATTTGTCTTTAACGAATATAGAGTTTATGGCTATTAAAGCAAAGACCCAAAATATATCTTAACATTCAAGGTGTTGCAATAGATATTATTTTTATTCAAAATATAAAAACAATCAAATCTAGTATAAATAACTATACTTTTACAATAATAAGTCACTATCCTACAATATAAAACGATTAATTATCCATATAATTTAAAATAAATATTTTACAAATATAAACTTTATGAATCATACTTTAAATTTTCTTTTCCTTATCCAACATTCATCGTATCTTCGTCCCTTTAAAAGCCTGCATATTCACTCCTAGAGTAAATATTACATACATTGAACATGCACGAGTGCCTCAATAATTATTTTCTTTTTAAATGTGCATTATGACCGTGAATATGCATTCGCTTGTAGTAATATTTTTCCCTACCATTGACCGCTTACTGGTTCAAGCTGATCACTCTACATTTATTTTTTCTAATTGATTTTAACGAGTCAATTTCGAGCCGAACACGAATATTTAAATCAAGCTGAACACAAACACGTTGTTCACAAGCCAACTTCAAACAACTCCGATTTCAAACATGAGCAATTTCAAATTAACTGAACACGAGTCAAACTTGAACTCACTCGAGCTCATCTCATTTATAGCCCTACACTCGTTAAACATACACTCAAAATCTACCCGTTATTTTGCCCGAACCGAACCGAACCGCACCGAACCGAACGAGGGGAATATCTTCTCTGCCATTAATAAATAGTATTAAAACACCGCATCCGATGAGGCCTGCAATTCCCACCACCACCCTCCAAGAAGCAACCATTTAATCAGTCTGGTCGGCCGAACTCTCCATGGCCGCCTTGAACCCACCAAGCGTCGCCGACCTCCTCCTCTTCCATCGTCACGAACGCGAGTTCTTCAACCGCCTCATCCACCGCCTAGGCCAACGCCACGTCCCCACTCAATGGGTCATGTCTCTCTGGCTCTGGTTCGAATCCATCGGCCACCATGACTTCATCCGCCGCGTCTCCTCCTCCTCCGACCAACTAGTCCTCCATTTCCTCGCCGAAGCCAAAGCCTGCCTCCTCCGCCTCATCTTCAACTCATCATCGGACCAGCAAGACGACGAGCACGAACCACTTCTACTTACCAACACTCTCGTGTCCGAACCCATCGGGCTTCGCTTCTTCGACTATCACCACCAAGAAGCTCTCCATGGCGTCCTCTATTTCCAAAAGAACGTCTCCGAAATAATTTTCAACGATAATATTACTGATCAGATAGCTGCTCATCAGGTTCTGTCCAGCGGGCTTCATATTAATTGGCGGCCTTCTGTTCAATATAACGTGAGGGAAGATCACTTTGCTTCCTCATCGGCATTAATGTTGAATTCGATGGCGGGGACGTCGTCGGCGCCTGTAACAGACCGGTCGCCGGAGGAACAGAGGTCTATGTTCATTACTTTCTCCAGGGGGTATCCGCTAACCCGAGATGAAATTAAGGACTTCTTTAACATGTAATTAATTGTTACTTGGCAAATGCTCTTCTTCACAGCACTGAAAATCAGAAAAAGAAAAAAAAATTGTCTATATGGATTTTATTTAATTTTAAATTTATTTTGAGGTGAACATAATTATTTGAAAGTGATTAATTATTAATATATATTTTCATCCATCTTAATTTGCTCTTTTATATATATTACATTGTACCGTTACATATAATTAGGAAAAGATAATATTCTCTTGGAACAGGATATATTTACAAATTTGGCTGGAAATATCATATTTAACATCAGAAGATTTTTCATATTTATTTTAAAAGAAAATAATGAGTACTATATATATATATATATATTAACATCATGACAAGCAAATTTAAATAACCAAACCCTGATTCACATTTTTTTCTTATAATTATTTTCTTGGTATATATATAAGTTAATTATAAGAGCAATTCAATTTAGATGATATATTAGGACATAAAACATTTAATCATGGTACGTAAAAATTGTTATATTAAGATTGTATTTATAATGAGTGAATGAAATATATTTAAAAATGGTAGGTAACTTGGTCGTTTTGTATCATATTATTCATAACATATAATAAAATCGAGTGCTACGTGCATGCATGCAGGAGGTTCGGGAGGCCGTGCGTGGAGATGGTGATGATAGAGAAGGCGCCGGTGGGGGTGCCGCCGATGTACGGACGGGTGGTGTTCACCACCGCATCGGTGATAGCAGTGCTGCTCAACGGGCAAAAAACAGCAAAATTTATGATCAAAGGAAGACATCTATGGGCGCGCGTGTATGTGCCCCGCCATTCTTCTAACTAGACTCAGCAAAACTTCCTTAAGGGCATTTAGCTTCTCCAAAAAGAAAAATGACATATAAAATATTTATCTTTTACACAATAATTTTATAGCCGTTTTTGGTGAGAGGGGGTGTGCCCCCAAAAGATTTATACCTGCAATTTTTATTTTATATATGTAGCCACGTTTGTTATAGTTTTTTGCTGAGTCGAATCTGGTGTAATGTGGACTCATCCAAAGTTACATCAGGATTATATATATTCATGATTCCTTTTGTCAGAACCTTAAACAATACTGTTCAGTTTGGTTAAAACGGCTGCTTATATTCATTTAGTATTCATGGGTTTGCGTGTTCATATTTAAAGACCTGCAATGGATGGAATGCCTGTGCCATTGCCGTGAGAAGCAGAGAATGAGGTTTTACGGATAATTTCCTTTCCTCAACACCTTTACACAGTAGACTTTATACATGCATATAGTAGACAAAATAGGAAAAAAAAAACATTCTAGAAAAGTTATATTTAGTTATATGATTATGGTGACCTCATGCAAGCTTAGTTGTGCTTGTTATTGTTACAGCTGACACCCCTGCGAGCTGACTGTTCTCGGTAAAACGTGAAGTTCATGAAACCTCTGTTTTGATATACTCTAGCTGAATCTGTTTGGAGTTGATGAAGTCCCTTCTGAAATGGTAGTCGATCTCTATATATTTGATTCGTGCGTAAAAGATTGGGTTGTTGGCTAGAGATATGACAGATATCTTGTCACAATGTATAGAATTAGGTTGTATAAGTTTGACATCAAATTCTTCTAATATTCTCCTTAGTCATATTACATCTGTTGTGGCTGTTGCTAAGGCATCATACTCGGCCTTCGAATATGACCTTGCAATTGTAGACTGTTTCTTAATCAACTATGATTTTTGAGTGTCACCTAGGAATGAGCACACTCCAGGGGTGGACTTCCGATATGATTGTTCTTCAACTAAATCAGCATAAAGTTTCGAAGATTGAGATTGTGGGGTATGATTTCCACGGCAACGTGGCTCGTGCCCTGTAGATGCCGCAACAGATGAGTTAATTGTTGATAATTTGAGTTGATATTTCCGTCGTATTTAGTGTCGAAAAATGCCGTCGCTAAAAAATACTATCAAACATGCAAGCGATGTTGGAGTAACGATGCAATAGTTAAAAAAAAAAACCGACAATGATTAGCGTCAAACGGTGCAGACACTAAGTAGCATTAGGCTTCTTTGACGCTATTGGATCGTTTTAGCGGTGACTTATATCATTAGCTAATTGTGTTTTAGTCTTACAATTTTCCGACGCTAATTTGAAGCTAATATATAAGAAATAAAAAAATACAATGAAACAATTAGTTTTTTACATATCTACATATAACAAACACAATCAACATAATATGATATTTATGTATCATGACAACTCATAATAGAAATCTCACACATCACATAATGATACCAAATCATATTAAATATAAACAGATTAAAGTGTTCAAAATTCACAACACAAGAAACTGAAAGCTCGTACAATACAAAAATGAAGAAAAGATAAAATCAACCCCTATGCGGAAGAACATCATCAAACACAGAAAAAAAAATCTAATATTCATTCTCATCATCATCCTGTTCCTCCTCTTCAATCTGCACGTGCCACATGTTTTATCGATCAAAACTCTCCGTTAAGCGTAACAAGCTATCTCCAATGAGCTGCTGACATTCGCACACCTGTCAGAGCTCTTTATTCATCATTGTCACATGCCTGACAAGCTTCTCATGCTGAGCCTGCAATGAACTAGGGCCACCCACAACTGCTCGGGAATGCTCAGCCTCAAACGCCATCCCCTTTGCTTGGAGGCAGTACACCCTCCCCTTCTTCTTCCCCGTCGTTTGCGTCCACAACTCTTAATCAAGCTGTGGAGTGATAGACTAGCTGCCACTACCAACGAACGGTGAGCTATGACTGACCATCTCCGTCTGTCTCTCCCGGAGTTGCTCGTACTCCTCCTGTATAACAAAATTCAAATATTATTTGGGATTTTAAACATTAATTGACATATTAATAGAATTAATTTTTTTAAACTTAAATTGACACGACGAGAGTGGTCGAATACCCACTGTTGTATGCTGGCATGCCCTTGTGTAAGGACGTGCAACTCTGCAGTAGATGGCTCTCTTCAAACTTATGATCTGTATACATGATCAAATAAACAGATAAGTCACATAAGTACATAAATCAGTAAGCTTTTGAATTTTGACCTAACCTTACCAGCCTCCGATAGTGCTCCATGTGGGGGATCAAACCTCCAATGTAGAGTACAGCCCCTCTGGCTCCCTTCATCATGCAGTTCTATTGATTTGTCTATCTCTTTCTTTGGTACTCCGGAGAGGCCCGTGCTTGGTCTAACTTAGCCTAGACTTCCTCCTCAAACTATAAGGGCCTCTGCCCTTTCTTACGTATCGTCGTGAACATATCCCGAGCCGAAGCCTACAAAGAACCTAAAAGATCTGACTGATCTTCTAATGATATTCTGACAACCAGTAAAACAACCTCAGAAAATTAGAAAGTATGTAATTTTTATTAGCATATAAAAAGGTAGAAATTAACTTTATATTTCAAATTTAAATATCATATCTTGAATTCCTTAAAATACATATCCCGAGTGGCAATTAATATCTTCTTCCATGAGAGATATGATTGATCATATCTGCTCTTGATGATCTCCATGTTCCGCATCACGGGCGGCCTTGAGGGGTAGAAAATGGAAATTATCCATTAGGTACACTGAAGAAGTGCATTGGAAATGTGAAATTGAAGAATGCTCCATTGACGATGGAGTGCAACTATAATAAGAATGGGAATTGTTGAAAACTTAGCCACATGACTAAATATTTCATGATAATTAACTCCAAGTTCTTGTTGATGCCCTTGAGTAACAAGGCTTATCTTATATTTGGTAATTGTACTCATCGAATTGTGTTTGGTAGTATACGTCCACCGATAGTTGAGAATCGACTGATTTGTTGGAGATGCAACCAAAATCCATGTGCCATATCACTGAAGAGCATTAAACTCTTCGGTCACCACCTGTCTCCATTCTGAAGGTTTAATTGCTTGCACATAATATGTGGGATTTGTGGGTGGCTCAATTTTATGACAGAGATTCAGTTTTTGTACCAGTTTAAGGTGATCAATTCTAGATTTATTTCCCTCAGATGCACATGTGGCACGGCTGGAAGAGGAGTCACTGGTAGAGTATCAGGTGCAGTAGGTGGTTGAGGCATTTCGATAGGTGGTGTTGAAACCGTGGGTGAGATGGCGGTGATTTGAGCAGTGAATTTGGAGTAGCAGAATGATGTTGTGAGGTAGATTGATATGTGATAGGATTAAGTAGCCATGGAGGGATAAAAGAATTTGGAGGATGTTGTGCCGTAAAGGGTAGTTTGTATTTGTGTTGGAATGGAAAAATATATTCAATGGATATCATACGTCAGAAGATTATGATTTTATTTTTGGTGGAGTTTAGGCACTTGTAGCCTTTATGTTGGAGAGAGTGTCCTAAAAATATGCACTGAATAGAACTTTGTTCAAATTTGTGAAGAATGAGGTTGTCTTCATAGATAGCATGCACGTCTGAAAACACGAATATGAGCGTAGTTTGGTAGAGTTTTGTGAAGGTGCTCATATGGAGATATTTAGTGTGTGGCTCTAGTTGGCATGCGATTTATGAGATGTACGTAAGTTAGAAGACTGTCGGACCATAATTCGTTGGGCACTTGTACATGGTGTAGGAGAGCGCGAGTTGTTTCAAGAATATGTCTATGTTTTCGTTCCACCACCCCATTTTTCTTGGGTGTGTATGGGCATGAATATTGATGGATGATGCTATTTTGATTAAGGAATTGCTTGAGGTTGTGATTGGTGTATTCACCTCCTCCATCAAAATGATGGATTTTTATTTTTATATTGAATTGGTGTTGAAGAAAATGAATGAAAGTTTTAGTGATTTGAGTTGTCTCATAATTACTTTGTATAAAAAAACCCAACAAAATTTGGAGTAGACGTCAACAAAGAAAATATAATATTTAAAACCTTGATAAGAGGAAATTTTTTATTTTTATATTGAATTGGTGTTGAAGAAGATAAATGAAAGTTTTAGTGATTTGAGTTGTCTTAGATTTATTTTATTTAAAAAAACCCAATATAATTTGGAATAGTCGTCAACAAAGAAAATATAGTATTTAAAACCTTGATAAGAGGAAATTGGGGGATGGTCCCCATACATCGCTATGAATTAGTTCTAATGATTTGTAATTATGTCCCACATGAGGTAAAAAGGCTATTTAGGACTCTTAGTAAGATTAAAAATATTGCAGAAACTTTGAGTGGATGTAATGTGTAGTTGCTAATGCTTGGAGATGACAGAGATGATGTCATGGTGTGGATGTCCTAATCTTCAGTGCCACAATTCGACGTATTGAGCTTTGAAAAGAGAGGAAATAAAAGCTTTTGGGAATTGCGTGGATGAGTGAATTGAGTAGAGATCGTTAGAACCAGGCCCCAGAGAAGCACCTATTGAGTGTGTGGATCATTAATTGAAATGTCGGAAGCATTAAATGAAACAACAATATTATTATCTTTGGTTAATTTGTTAATTGAAAGCAAATTATGGGAGAGAAGGGGAGTATGTTGTATATGCTGTATGTGAGATAATTTCAGCTTACGAATTGGGGTTGAAAGTTTGTTGTCATCCTTGTGCTCAATTGGAACAATTCCCATTGCTAGCCATCACTTATTCAACTATGTGGTAGATTTTGCGTTGTTGAAGATGGCTGATCTCTGAAGTGAAGTGTTCCGTTGCCTCAGAATCTAATATCCATTCCTTGGATGCAACTTGGAGGGCTTGTGGTTGAACCATAGTTGTCTATTCAAAATTATTCCTATGCCAAAAGATGGCAACAAAATGTCCCGTGTTATTACATATTTGATAGGTTATGTTGGATTGAGTCGATTGTCGACCTCCCCGAGATCCTCCTCTTGAGCTTCCTCTTTGAAGATAGGTTCCCTTTGCCCAAGAAGCTGCAAATGCCACTTGAGCTTCTGTAGATGAAGTGTTCATTATGTTTTCATTATTGATGTTGATCTCCTCACTGCATATGAGAGAATATAAGTCATCGAGGGATATGGGCTGAAGGTTAGTTCAGATGATAGTTTTAGGCCCCATTTGTGGTGCGTTTTGAAAATGCACCCAGGCGCGTTTGCGTAAACTGTATTCTAGCAACTTATACAAAAGTTGCATTTCTAAACCGCCGGAATCAACGTTTTCACATCATTCCTGACTAGGTGTTGTGACAGCTTCCTAACTGCGGTCTTGCTTTTAAAAAAAAATAAATTGTAATAGTCACCGCAGGTTTTTGAACAACTGATTATTTTTCAATAGCTTATTAATAAGGTGCAAGTGCCCCAAACAGATCCTTAAATGCATTGTAGGATTTAGGGAGACCGGTGAGAATATATAAAATTATATCGGCGTGATCCAGATTTGAACCAGTCGTAGTGATTTGATCCACCAATGTCTTGATCTCTATTAGGTATTAAGCCATTATGTGATCCCTCGTTGAGGCGTTATGTAACTCATTTTTCAATTGAATCACATAGTATCTATTGGTAGGTTATAGCCGGTTTTTCAATGTTGTCCAGATAGCTGTAGTGGTGGGTAGGTCGAGAATATGAGGTAGAACTGTAGGAGAAATGGCGGAGCACAATAATGTTGTCAGATTTTGATTAATTAAGTTCCACACCTGAAATTGATTTTCTATGGTTGCAAGACATGAATAATTCATGTCAAGAAAGCCAACAAAACCGTTTGCTATAAATTTCTTAAGAATCTGTGCATGCTAAACGTGGTAGTTCTCTACTATTAGCTGATTTTAGGTGAACTGCATGATATGAGAGAGTAAGAACTTTAGAGAAGGGGGGTTACTTGTAATGGGTATAGGTAGAGTCGACGATTGGGAATCAACAATGTTCAATTCATCCATTGTAGCAATAGAATTAATGGCTTTGAATTCGATGCTTACTTGCTTGTAGTGGGAGAGCCCTTTTCCAGGAAGAATAAGCTCTGATACCATAAAAAATTGGTATAGAAGGAATGCCTGTGCCATTTTTGTGGGAAGCATTGAATGTGGTTTTACAGAGAATCTCCTCCGCACCTTTACACATTAGACTTCATACATATACATAGGAGACAAGATGGAAAATGTGAACATTCTAGAAAAGCTATAGTTATTTATGTGATTCCGGTGACCTCAGGTGAGCTTAGTTGGGCGTGTTATCGTTAACGCTGAAATTATTGTCATATTGAATGATTATGATCGATTGCTTTCTGTGTTGATATAATGCATAGTTTTTAGTTTCTCATTGGTCTAATTTGATGGCCCTATATAATAAATTAACAATTTTTTACCCTCTAATCCTGTCGTTGATCCATGTGGACATATAAATGATAAAATATCGGTGTTGCAATCATAAACAAAATTATTCATCTATCACTACAGGTCGATCACATAGAATACCTTGCTACCATCACTTTATTTAGCAGGTGGATCACATAAAAATATTCCATGAGTGGTGTGCATAATTGCATCAATGTCTTGTCTTGTGATAAGCTACAAAATTTATTTTATTAATTTTTGAAACTTTTGGATTTTATGAGGGTTGTATCAAGTTTTGTCTGTGAATTCACGTCTCAAAGGAAAAGCTATAGGAAAGGAAGAAATAACCATAGAAGGGAAGAAGATGAAATCGATTGTATTATAATATAGGGTAAGAGTGCAATGAGAAAAATAATCCCCCTTTTTTACATTATCTCCTCTTTTATGAAGGAGTTTTTTTCTATAAAATAAACATATGTTATGTTTACACATTCAGATATCTCATAGGAGCTCAAGTGGCTAGATTTTTATCATTTATCACCCTAAGTATAGTATAAATTTTATATTCATAGCTGTCGTCGACACCATTTTGTGTTTGTAATTGTAAAACTTGGTCAATTGATCGTCATTTGATCTGCCAAGAGGTCTACGATCGGCTTCCCGAGGGAACCCTTACTAGAGACCTCCTTATACTTAGCAAAGGTTTATTTGATCAAGCAGAGGGCACATCACCATAATCTAATGGGTAGCTTTCCTACGAGAGGGTTGAAGAGTTTTGTGTACAGGCCGTTGATCTTCCATGCGAGTGACCCAGAATAAGTTGAGGTAGTCAATTTTGTATAGTCGTCGCCAGTTTACGTGTACAATGTTTCTTTGCAGGATTTATTTTTCTTCGGCGGGCCCATGATTTGACCTAATGAAGTTATCCTTGATGGCTTGATCTTTCAACCGTAAAATGTGGTCCTTTGATAACTTCTTTGTATGATTCATTGAATTTACTTGAGATTTGTGTAGTCAGATTTTCGATGTACACCAATCAACATTGATTAGCTGTCTACTTTCACTCAAAGTGCAATCAAATTTCTTATAAGAATTATTTAATACATGACAGATGTATCAAAAAGCACTTCACAAAATATTTTGGCATTTAATATTCTTATGAGCTTAACATAAAATTAAATCTTTAGCTATCATATAACATAATGCAAGTCTCTTTTAATTGAAAATTTGAGGGATCAACACTTGTCTTATTCTGATGTCAAACAATACTCATTGTGCCTGCAATTTATCTTTTGATTTATCAAAATTAAATAAATGATAACAATTAGTCTTTTTCCGATATTCATAACATTTAAATCATATAACTATACTTTTGATAAATAAGATTAAAATAAGCTCTACCTTTTTTGAATATCACGAAATTTAATAAGCGATAGTGATTTTTAATGATGAAAACAAATTCATATGTATTTACATCTCTGACACCTAAAGTTTGTTTTTTATAATTATACCACCCAAAACTATTATATCACATCACCATCATTTTAACTTAAAAAAATGAAACACACTTTTTCATAAATAGGCGAGATGGTTTGTACGTAAAAATTGAAGTGTAATATGTAAAAATATATGAATTGAGTGTTATATATGTAAATCTTCCTCCTCTTTACCATGTAAAACTTATTTTTTTATGTTATTTAATTTTAGGAAGATTTACATACATACCACTTAATTCCTATGTATTTACATATCCAGCACGTAAACTTCCTAGATATGAACGGCAGAAATACGTATCATATACATATAATGAACGAGGAGCAGATACAGAACTAATCTGGCCTCCATATGTAGATGAATTTAACACAGCTGGAAAATAAAAAAAATAAAATAAAAATTTAAATGCACATGTATATCTCTGACATATATGATATTCAGGGTAGGGCATTTACATAGATACCTCCCAATTCCTACAAATTCAGATATCTAACAATCAAATCTTTTATGTGATCACATCCGAACAAATTATCACTATTTTAACTTTTAGAAGGTGAAATGCATCTTTTTCAAGCATAAGGTAAAATGATACGTAAGTAAATATTGAAATTTAGGTGTTACATATGTAAATATAAAGGAATTGAGTGGTGGATGTGTAACTTTAATTTTATTTATCTGCTCTTGTGTCTGGACTGAAGAAATATTACATCAGTATTATATGCACGTAGGGTAACGTGCGTAGTCAATGAAATAACGCCACGATACCCTGCACGACACAGAAAAAAAACGGCGCAATAACACGGAAAATATTTCCCCCCATGTTATTTATGTGTTATTGTGTCCTGTAAATATTCCTGGTGTTATAATAACACAATAACACATGAATAACACATAAATAACACAATAACACAAGAATAACACGGGAGAGAATATTCTCCCGTGTTACTGCGCCGTTTTTTTCTCTATTAGGAATATTTCCCGTGTTATTCAAGTGTTATTGTGTGTTATTCATGTGTTATTGTGTTATGAGAATATTCTTGGTGTTATAATAACACAATAGGTGTTCAATAACACATGAATAATATGCAATAACACATGAATAACACACAATAACACATGAATAACACAGGGGGGAATATTCCCCGTGTTACTGCGCCGTTTTTTTTGCTCTGTCGCGCGAGATGTTGTGGCGTGATTTGATTGACCACGCACGTTATTTTTACGCGCGTAGTACTGATGTAATATTTTTTCCTGGACTATGGGCTTCGTCGGTTGCTGATGGCTTTATTTTTGCCACTGGCTTGCAGCTATGCAATTAATATTTTTTCTTTCATTTAATTAATTGATATCAGGCTGTCAATATCATGCAAATTGAAGGTCTATGCATAAAAAATTGATGTTCATGTATTTGACATATAAATACAGAAGTTTTGATTAATTTAGATGTCATGAATTTTTAAATTTTTTTTAATTTTTTTCATGTAAAAACCATAATTTCTAATTTTATATTTACGAGTCAATTGAATTTCTATACAATTTTAAGACATTAATCATTATAAATTTTGTAGCACTTAGTTACTTGATGATGACTTATCTTATTAAAGGACTCATTTTTGTGGCTAACATTTTTTATCTCATTAACTTGAACGAATCAAATGGACGATTTTATGAAAAAAAATAGTGTCTTGGATATGTAAATACATAAGATCTGTGCGGTATCTATGTAAATTTCGCAGAAGTTTAGTTTGTCCTGTATTAGTCTCGCCATGTATATAAGTCGAGAAGAACACCTGATGTTCGTGCACTCCCAGCCAAAGCTCGAACGCAGCAATGGAAAGCACTCCAATGAAGATCTCCTCTGATAAAGAAGCTAGGGTTACGCTCTTCGTCGTCCTCACTTGCATGGTTGCCGGCTCCGGCGGGCTCCTCTTCGGCTACGACCTTGGGATCTCTGGTAATATTACTTAATTTTCCACATCTCCATAAAGCTCTATCTTTTCCCTTCTTATTTAATTAGCTCAATTAATAAACTGAAAAAGATACAAATTTGGCTCGTTCAGGTGGAGTGACATCCATGGATTCTTTTCTGAGCAAATTCTTCCCCGAAGTTGTTGCAAATATGAAGAAAGAAGGGCATGTGAGCAACTACTGCAAGTTTGACAGCCAGTTGCTGATGGCTTTCACGTCGTCGCTTTACATTGCTGGCTTCGTCGCCTCTCTGTTGGCTTCGCAGGTGACTAACAGATTTGGTCGGAGGTCCTCCATGCTTTTCGGAGCTGTGCTGTTTATCTGTGGAGCAGGACTCAGTGGCGCTGGGTTCAATCTCTTGACAGTCACCCTTGGCCGGATTCTTTTTGGGGCTAGCATCGGCTTTACTAACCAGGTATGGCATGGCTGATAACAGGATATCAGATATCCCTCTCCATCAAATTAACCAGTTGTGAAAAATGACACCTAAAAACTAACTCCAGCGTAAAAATCTTGTCTTTTCAGTCCATCCCCTTGTACATCTCGGAGATGTCGCCGCCGAAATACAGGGGAGCCATGAACGGCTTCTTCGAAATCAGCCTCAGCATCGGACTTCTAGCCGCAAATATTGTAAACTACGGCACGCAAAAGATCAGAGCCGGGTGGGGATGGAGACTCTCCCTCGCACTAGCCGCCCTTCCTGCCTCTTTCCTCCTCATCGGCCTTCTCTTCCTCCCTGAAACCCCAAGCTGCATAATCTATCGCAACGGAGATTCACAAGAAGCGTCCCGTATTCTACAAAAGATCCGCGGCACCTCCGACGTCCAAAACGAACTGAAGAGCGTAATCTCCGCAGCCGCCGACGCCTCACAAGCGGCATCGGATCATCTCCTGCACAGACTCGCTCGACGACAATATCGCCCTTATGTAGTCATGGCTGTCGCCCTACCTGCTTTCCGCCAGTTCACCGGAATAAATTTCATAACTTTCTACGCACCGGTGATGTTCCGGATCATCGGATTCAAAGAAAGCGCGTCACTTTTGGCAGCATTGGTGACAAGGCTTACAGCGACGGTCTGCATTGTGTTGGCCATGGGGTCGGTGGATAAGCTCGGGCGCAGGAAATTCTTCTTCGTCGGCGGTTCGTCCATAATTGTTGCGTTGATGATGGTGGGAGGAGTAATGGCAATGAAATTGGGGGATCATGGGACAATGAGAGATGCCTATGCCTACCTGGTATTGTGCTTTCTGTGCATCTATGTGGCAGGTTTTTCCTGGTCGTGGGGTCTGTTGCCATGGCTTGTGGCGAGTGAGATCTTTCCTTTGGAGATCCGATCGGCGGGGCAGAGTGTTTTTGTTGCTTCGGATTTCTTATTCGGCGCTGTGATTGCGCAGAGCATGCTTTACATTCTCTGCTATTTGAAATTCGGTGTTTTTTTCTTGTTTGGAGGACTGGTGGTGCTGATGAGCTTGTTTGTGTATTGGTTGTTGCCGGAGACGAAGGAGTTGCCGTTGGAGCAAATGGGCAGGGTGTGGGAGGAGCACTGGTTTTGGAAGAGGTTTGTGGAGTCGGATGAGGAGAGGAAATGAAGAGAACGTGCGGATATCTTAGGAGGGCCTGATTGGCAATTTCTAGGATTTAACCGAGTCGGACATTGGACTTTCCATTCCTCCTCCAAAGGTTTTAGAGATTTGGTTTCAATGTTCCGATTGAAAAAAAAGAAATAAACCAATTATTCAGTCAGATATGTGCACATTTATTTAGATTTCAAATCAATTTCCATGATTTATTCATCTCACAAATAAATTATAATTGATGCGTGCTAGAAAATTTAAGGCGGTAGAGTTGCTTATTATCGTCCTAACGTTGCACGAGATTTCAACTCACTCAGGTAAAAGAATGTTGCAAACTATATATACCAGTTGTTGTGGTATATATATAGAAATAAAATAGAAAAACGATCTTTGACGAAACGAAAAAATAGAACAAGAAAATTCACACTATAAAACAATAACACCAAAGCTGAACACACAAATTTACATGATTCGGCAAATTGCCTACGTCGATGGAGTTGCATAGGATTTTACTACATGAAAAATTTACACCAGTCAATCACATCGACTTACAAGAGTAATCTCTCACTCTCACTTCGTTACAATCTCTTCTTCTCTCTCTACACCGAGATACACCGAAGAAACTTTACACCGAGATACACCGAAGAAAATAAACTTACAAAAGAAATAAACTCAATTTCTCTTATATCATAAAGAAGAAGCCAAGGGAGAACAATCTTTTTCTTCTTTCTTCTTCCTTCTCCCGCAAGGAAATACTTCTTGCACTTTACTTCCTTTATCCCGAGGAAATTGAAGAATAACACAAAGGGCGTGGCGTCCAAAACTCAAGAAGAACCGTGCTCTTCTGTTTGCAACTTAAAGGAAGTGGGAGACGGTGTCATTTTGCGAATATCGCAACCTTTCGCGATAGTGGAGTGGGAACAAGTATCACGATAGCAGGGGATCACGACGTTTCGCGATTGGGAGCGGAAGCGGAGTTAGGGTCGCGACGCGAGCATTAGCGGGAAATCGGGAGGCAAATCGGGCTCCAAATCTAACAAAGAAAAAACCAATAGTGGCACTATAAGTTTTTATGTGGAAAACCCGTAAGGAAAAAAATCACTAGGTCTGACCTAGTTGTAAGAATTCACTATAAGTTGGTGATTGCAGAAACCCCTTATCCCACTGGCGAGAAATAGTTACAAAGTTTTTCAAATTATAATGTCAACGTATGAATAAACTTGTCGTAAGAAGTGGATAACAATCAATGACGATTGGTTGAGGCCAAAAAGTAGTGGTCGATAGCGGTCAGCGGTGGTTAATTTTGTTCGGTGATGATCGATGATGGTTAGTGGTAGTAAACGGCGATCGATGACGATCCACAGTGGTAAGAATAACGTTGGACTTCAAGTTCTTCTCAAAGCTTTAAGTTTTTTTCCTAAGTCTTAAGATCTCCTCCCTCTCATGAGAGGGACAAGACTCTATTTATAGTGTTCTGGGTGCAATTAATGCAAAAATATGAATCATTTTGATCGGAATGCCCGTAGAGCTTCCTTCCATTAGACAACATTTGATGGACATTTGAGTGTCTTAATAATGTCAAAATTGAGCAATCTTGAGTTCGCTGGATTCATCTTGTTGAGACACTCGATTCAATTATAGACTTACTAGATTCAACATTCGTTTGACCTTCTAAATATGTTTGGAAAACTTTCAATAGCGGTTTAATGACTCGATTTTAGATTGATTTGACTCCGATTGGACTAATTTTGATGTCATTGGGTCCGTCTCATCGAGTCAGTTACTTTGACTATAAGTTTGCTTAAATTGAAGCTCTGGATGCCTCTTAATTGAAATATGAATGATTCTTGCTCCAATGATTGCCTTGAGGTTCTTGTCATGCTTTGAGATTCATGCAAGATGATGAAAATATGTTAGTGGCGTACCAATAATATTTACACCACCTAACACCCATTAAATAGTCGTTGGACAATCTCACGCTTCCCTTTTTACGGATGCAACTCACGAGTAACTTCAAGGTTCAAGATCTGTTTGACGAGACAGTAGTTTCTTAAAAATATTGATGCATGCTAGAAAATTTACGGCGGTAAAATAATGAATTATCATCTTAGCGTTATATGAGAATTCAATACACACTAAGATGAAAAATATAACCAATTGAGACATCAGAAACTTTTACGTGAAAAACTCAGAATGAAAAAAAAATCACAGGTCCTAACCCAGTTAAAGAGATCAACTATAAGTTGATGATTAAAGAAACCCCTTGTCCTACAGGCTTGAAAGGGCTATAAAATCTTTTGAATTACAATGTTGATGTGCGAATGAATTTGTTGCAAGTAACAGTGGCGACAATAATGATCGGCGGTGGTCAACAAGTGGTGGTTGACAACAGTCGGCGGTGGTCGACGATGGCAGAAGTGTTGTTGTACTTCAACACATTCTAAAAATTTCAAGCTCTTTGTTTCCTCACATAAGAGGGGTGGAACTCTATTTATAGAATTATGGGTGTAATTAATACAAGATTATGAACCACTTAGATCAGACAGTTTAGAAAGATTCCCTAGATCGGATGATGTTTGATGTACATTTGAAAGGTTTAGTGGTGTGGGATTTGAGCGATTTTTGGCTCGTTAACTCGCAAGATTCGACATCCATTTGACCTTTCAAATATATTCAGAAAGCTTCCAAAGTGGTTTAAAGACTTGATCTGAGCTTGGTTTGAATTGGATCTCATCAATTTTGGCATCATAAGTCCATCTCGTCGAGCTGATCAATTTGACTGTAAATTTGCTGAAATTAGACTTCTGGATGACTTTATAGAAGTTTGAATGTATGTTACTAAAAAAGGTACATTGTGATGTGATATGAAAGAAATTAGTTGAAGATGTATCAAATACGATTGTACATCCGTCTAGGAAACTTCTTTGAAAGCTGCCACAAGAATTTTAAATATATATTTATAATTCAGCTTTTTAAACTTTTGCCCACGGCCGAAACCGCTTGAGGCTTCATCGCCACCTCCGATGTTTTGTTTGAGAGTTTCGCCGGCACTTGAACCCAAAGAGATCTGTCCAATTTAGCAGGGGTGTTAATTTGACTTCTGTTTGAGTATTTTAGATATCGTACATGTTAATATTGGAGTTTAGATGTGAGATGCATATTATTAATAATGTTGATTGCTATATATATACACATACATACATATATAAATCCAACAAAAATAAAGTGGGGGTTGTCATCATCTTTTGAATTATAATATATTACATTTTAATTAAAACCAAACATAAAAAAACAATCTCATGTATTTTGCATCTAAGCAAGACCAATAAATTTCATATAAATTATAAATCAATTACACTGCAAGTTATTTTTCGGTTAAATAAATAACTTTTAATAAATTCGAATTTAGTAAATGTTGAAGTGATTAAATCTCATAAACTTTTTGAATTGACATATATTAAATATAATTTGATTAAATTCTGTGAAACTATTCAATTACTTCTATCAGAATTTAAATTTACAATTTAATTTTATTTATTGTAATTTTTTAATTATATTATACGTTACTTAAGTTTTAAACTAATTTCTCTTTTATTTTAAATTTATATAATTTAATTATAAATACTATAATATAATATTTTAATGAAATATTAATTAATAAATATCTTTTGTTAGATTAAATTAAATCTTCCAAAATCATCATATAATAAATAATAAAAGTAATTAAAAAATAAATATTTTAACTTTTAGATCACAAATAAATTTAGTTTAATTAACCTAATGATTTTAATTTAACTAACCTAATCCATTGATGTTCCTTTGTATTTCTTACATACAGTGTAATCCAATAAATCTTTAATATTTTAAAAATTGCGCTCGTTAAAATGTGATTAAATTCTCATACAATTTTTTATAATTTTTAAGTTAGTTTCATAAATTTCTTTTTGAATAGGATTAAAGTTTGAAACAGACATCTTGAGTTTATTTTGTATTTAATTTCCAAACAATACTGCTCTACATTCAAGCCTAATTAATCAGTTTCATAGCTACATAACAAAATTAGCAATAAAATAAATGCACAAAAAGAGACCCTTTATACTGCATAATATTTAATTTCGCATTACACGCGGACGACAGTGTGGATCACACCACGCTGTCAACCGTATGACAATGCGATTCATAGTGTCGTCCGCACATCTGATTAATTGGATGTAATTTTATCTCCATACCTGAAGTGTAAGAGAGACACTCAGTAATTTTTCTTAAATCAATAAAAACCAAACCCTTTCAAAAGAAAAAAAAAAGTCCACAATATGCAGAAATATGTTATACTAATCAGTAAGGGTTTGTTGACTTCCACCATTATTAGCGAGATGGAATGAAGTTTGTCAGCCTAAGCTCTTGTGTACAAACAAATGAAGATCCTTTGAAATGTTTAATATTATAGATAAATAGGCTTTACATTGTCCGGAAGAAAGCTCTTCGAACATGTCGGGCACTTAGGATGACGGCGACTGCCACGACGACTGCCACGACCACGACGACTTCCAATAATCCTCTGAATACACTGTCTACAGAATAAATGATAGCATTTTGCAATGACAACCTGAGCCAAGTAATAGGAAGATTGGGTTAAAGTGGTTATTTGGTTGGAAAGATCATGTCAGAGGAAATTAAAACTTGCAACAAGTTAGCAATGAAGTTTATAGGTTAGAATAAGATTATATGAGATCCATGTATCGATAACATATCTTTCATGGAACTTATTTGAAAATAAAATAAAAAGTTACTATAAGAAGCATCCAAAAGTCGAGTTGCATTACAAGCAACGCGATAGCAACAATATGGCATGATAATGCTGACGAATATATTAAATGCCTTAAAATAAAACAACAGGAAAGAGAGTAGGCAGGAGAAAGAATTGGTCATATTCTGTGTCTTTAGATGAGATTTTCTTCCCCTACAAGAGACCTCAAGCATAAGTATAAGAGCGTAAATCAAGCGTGAAGACTTGAGAGACAAATCTAGATTGAGTTAAATGTCATAACACGGGCCTGGAAGGCGGTGCACCACGGCAACACAAAACATGGTGAAATAAAATACACATTTTTTGTATTTTCAAAGAAAGACTTGCATGCAAATAAAAGAAAAAAAATGTAAATTTTATTAATACTAAAAAGTTCAATGATACAACTGCATGAAAATTAAGAACTAGCCGAATCAAAATAAAAATAATATAAACATGAAACAACCACCCATACTCAACAAAGACAAATACAACAACTAAAACAAATACTAACAAAAAATCAAAATTGGGAAATTAAAACTGAAAAGCTTGTTCCCGTGCAGACGGTTCAATTGGTGGCTAAATAAAACCTGCTATGTAAAAATATCAAGAATGAGTTTGACAAACTCAGTAAATAACAACTATCTATTAAAACTTAAATGACAAGAGAAATAAGACATGCATTATGGACAACAAGTAAGGAAGAATCACTATGTGTATATGTAACATTGTAAGACCAATAAGAAGGGTAAATATCAAATATGCATATCATATAAAAGATGCAATTATTCTCAATCAAATTTCTTATCATTTCACTTTCATTTATATTTATATATACAGTCGATTTTAATATACCCTAAAACTCAGAATGTCAAATACCAACCCAAGGTAACCCGATGGTCCCCAAATTCATAACTTAGTTCTGAAATATTTGTGAGTACTTTGCGATCATCTCTTCTTCAATCTCCCAAGTTGCTTCCCATTCTGACTGGTTCTCTAAAGCACTCTGACAAAAGAAGGTGAAGCTGTCGAACTTCACGCTCCAAGATGCGATCTGGTACTTCTTCATAACTCAAATCGTCTCAAATCATCAATGGCTCGTACCAAAGAATATGAGAATCATCAGTAGAAAGAAATGAAAGACAATGTGTACTCCCACAAGGCTTCTAGGAAGAGCCAAATGGTATGAAATTTTACTGACTTTGTCGATCATCTCGAAAGGACCACTGAAACGAGGCTAAAGCTTTCAAGGCTGGCCAAATCGTGCAACTCCTCACATGGAAAAACTTTCAGAAAAACATGATCTCCAACTTTGAATTCAATCTCCCTATGCTTTGGGTTGAAGTACTTCTAACAATCCTGGGCCGCACGTAATCAATCTCAAATCTGACAAACTTTCTCAATAGCTTGATTCACTAGTTGTGGTCCAAGTTTTCGTCTCTCACCAACCTCGAACCAACACAAAAGAGATCAACACTTTCATGCCGATACTAGCTTGAAAGCTATTGTTATAAGTAAATTCTACCAAAAAAATATAATATTCCCAATTACTTCTGAAATAAAAAATGCAGTCTCTCAGCAAGATTTCTAAGATCTGAATGTTGCGCTCCGATTGTCCATCTGTTCGAGGATGAAAAACAGTACTGAAGTCTAATCTCATGCACATTGCCTCTTGCACTTATTTCTATAGCCCGAAAGTAAACCTTTCATCTTGATATGATACAATGATGGTTGGAATTCTATGCAATCAAAGGATGTTGTCAATATAGAACTTGGCTAATTTATCCACTAAATAGGCTTTGCATGATTGGTAGAAAATGAGCCAACATAGTTTATCGACCACAACCCAAATAGCATAATGTTCTTAATTCAATATGGGTAATCCAATCACAAAGTCCATAAAAATCTCTTCCCATTTCCACTCTAGAATAGGAAGCAGTGCAACGGACAACAGACCACCAGGTCTCTGATGTTCCGTCTTAACCATCTGACAAACCAAACGCTTAGCTACAAACTCAGCTAGAGCATCTTTTATACCTGACCACCAAAATAACTTCTTAAGATCTTGATACATATTAGTACTTCCCAGATGAGAATAATAGAGAGTAGAATGCGCCTCACAGAGTATCTCCTGTAAAAATCCTTCTTGTTTTGGAACACACAACCGATCCTGAAATCTCAAATTGTCATCTCCATCGATATTAAACTCCGATTTCGATCCATTCTTTGTTTGCTCTCAAAGTTTTAGTAAGTTTGTATCCATCATCTGAGCTACACGAACACGGTCCACAAGTGTAGATTGAACTGACATTTGATATATGCTAGAAGTAGTTCTTGTCGGTATTATCTCGAGTTGAAGTCGCTCCATCTCTTGTGCTAACTCTTGCTCCTGAGTGACTATCCAAGCTGCATACGTAGAAAAATTTCTATTTAAAGCATTTGCGACCATGTCCGCCTTACTAGGGTGATACTGAATCTCCAAGTCATAGTCCTTCATCAACTTGAGCCATATTCTTTGTCTCAAGTTCAACTTCTTTTGGGTGAAAATATGCTTCAAGCTCTTATGATCGGTGAACTTCACAATGAACTCCATAAAGATAGTGCCTCCAAATCTTTAGTGCAAAAATAACCGCGGCTATCTCCAAGTCGTGGGTAGGATAATTTCTTTCATGCATCCTGAGTTGTCTTGAGGCATAAGCTACAACCATGCCATGCTGCATTATAACGCACACCAATCCTTGATGTGTAGATTTGAAATCCATCCGTGCCAGAGAAAATGGTGAGAATTGAGGCTGTTACCAAGTAATTCTTGAATTTCTAGAAACTCTGATCACAAGCGTTGGACAACTCAAACTTAACAACCTTCTGAGTCAACCTTGACAAAGATGCAACAATAAGAGAGAAACCTTCAACAAATTTCTGATAGTATCCAACTAATCCAAGAAAACTACGAATGTCGATGGCAATACTCAGTCTCGATCAATCCATTATTGCTATAATCTTTAGCAGGACCCACAGAAATTTCAGCTCCACTAACAATGTGTCTAAAAAATGTCACTTGTCAAAGCCAAAATTCACACTTAGAGAAGTTGACAAAAAAATTATTCTTTTGAAGAGTATTCAATGCTACTCCGAGATGTTGGGCATGCTCCTCTTCATTCTTTGAGTAGACCAAAATATCATCGATGAAGACAATAACGAATCAATCCAAGTAGGGCTTAAAAATCTCTGTTATCAAGTCCATAACGACAACATGAGGCATTAGTTGAACCAAAAGGCATAATAAGAAATTTATGGTGCCCATATCGAGATCGAAAGGACTCTTTGAAACGTCTCATCCTTGATCCTCAATTGATAGTAGCCCGATCAGAGATCGATCTTGGAAAACACAGAAGAACCTTGTAGTTGATCGAACAATCGTCAATACGAGGCATTGGGTACTTGCTCTTTACGGTCACCTTATTCAACTCTTTGTAATCAATGCACAACTGCATGCTTCCATCTTTCTTCTTCACAAATAGAATTGGCGCCCTCCTAGGTGAAACACTGGGCCGAACGAATCCTTTATCAAGCAATTCTTGCAACTTGATGTTGAGCTCTTGGAGTTATACAGTGGCCATCTGATATAGTGCTTTAGAAATTGGAGTGGTCCCCGGAAGTAAGCCTATGGTAAACCCGATCTCACGATATTGTGTTATGCCAAACAAATCTTCAGGAAATACATTGAAGAATTATCAAACTACTGGGTGCTATCTAAGGTAATACTAAATTTCTCAGAATCTATCACATGAGCTAAATAACCAACCTACCCATGGGATATCAACTTATAAGCCTTATTTGTCGAAATTAAACAAGAAATAACTCCTCTACTACTCTTGAAGAACTAAGTCAGGTATGCAAAAATTCACCCGTTTGCATGATATGTGGATAGCAAATCCATACCCAAGATTACATCAAATTCAACTAGTGATAATACTATGAGAGTAGCGGGCATACAAATGTCATTTATGATAATGTTACAATCAATAGCACACTGAGTAACGCTCACAAGTGAGCCTGATGACAGAGTGATTGAAAGAGTTAATTGTAATGGAAAAATCAATGCACTAGATGCAAATTTATTTGATATAAATGAATGAGTTGTCCCAAATTCAAATAATCTTTATCATATCAGGAGCTTCACGAGCTTCTTCCTGCGCCATAATGAATGTTCGCAATGGAATCACCTGTTTGGGCCGCTCTGGAGCTTGAGCTAGCTGAGGCTGATACTGCACAATCAAGGCGTTGTGAAAAAAAAACGAGCGCTAATGAGGAGATCGGTCGTAGCCGTAGCTCTGCTCTTATAGAGCGCTGATGCTCATCAAAGTGGGAAAGCGGCAAACAGAGGCAACAAGGAGATAAGGAAAGATTCGCTAAATCCAATTTTGGGAAATTAGCGACCATGAAGGAAGGATCACGAGCAGTGGAGAAAAGAAAGAAAAGAAAATTGCGTACAAGGAAACACGTAAGAAAACTTTTTGGATCTTAAACTAAACCGGTCAAATTTCAATAATTTGAATTATTTTATGAACTCCAAGTCCTGGACGCGAAAATTGGAGATTTGCATAACGTAGTGGATAACCAACGTAAGGAATCCATCAAAGTTCTAATTCACTACAGCGATTTTTTATTGCCATTTCTTCTTCTTCAAGAGTTCTAAGCAGAAAACCTCAACTGAAAGCTCACCATCAATCCATCAACCCTACCTTCTTTATTCCAATAAGAAGAGGAAGAATAGAACTCGTTCAACCCTCCAAAATAAACCATGATAGCTAAACAACTTATAAAAAGAACTAATAACAAGTATGACAATGCAGAAGACAAATGACAGTAGAATGGAAGTGAATTCAGCGAACTCTGTTAATAAGAAGGCACTGGCCCGACCTCTATACAATAAACAACGGTTCAAAGCTCGCCATCTAAAAATGAATCTCCTACAAAATTTAACCATTCAGGTGGCAGCTCAAGTTGCAAAAAGCGCTCGAGGTGGTACTGCCTCGATGATATATGTATAAGATGCATAAAAAGTGAGTGTTCGAACTATTAGCGATAGCACACGATGAAACTTACGTCATTCTGACGTTCATCGCAAACACGACATCTCAGGATACTCCTACATTCACTAATCTCTTTTTGAAGCTTTTCCAACACAACTGAGCCTTCATCAGCCTGTGTCTTACGCAATGTAAATTCAATTCTCAATGCTTTTAATCCTTCATGTATCCTCTTTTTGTTGAACCTAATCAAGGTAACGTGAATTCAATGAAATCCCGGCATACTTCATCAACCATAAAAGAGCAGAATACATTTTACCTCTCCCTTCCTAATTCAATTAGAAGCTCGGTCACCTCTAATTCCAATCCACTTTTCTTTGCCTGCATTTGTATTTCATTCAGAGAATGCCTCAACTCCAGAGATTCAGTGCACGCATCAGATAGTCTTGTTTGTAAATTGTCCAAGGCAACAGAACTTTGCTGCCTCTCATCAGCTTGTTTATCAACCTGATTTGAAAAGACTTTCAACTACAGAAAATTAAAAGGTCAGAACTCCCCCTCAAACTTCTGCAGATTAAATTTTCAATTTATTTCCAGGAAATTACCTCCTCTTCAAGCCTTAAAGTTAGCCGATAAAAGACATTCGTCATAGATTCTGCCACTTTAACCTTTCTACTCCAGCTTTTTATTTCCATACCAAGATCAAAATACTGCTGTCCAGCTTTGAGATTCTCTTTTCCAAGCTGGACCAGGAAAGTAAGGAGTTCACATGAACAAAGAATACCAAGCATGGTCCATAATTTGAAATTGCTGAAAATCTGAATAGAAACATGATTCTAAACACATCAAATGGGCAAATGCATTAACATATAGAAGTCACAAAATAATGAATCATAGAAAATTAATGGTGGTTCCTAATCAACACACAATACTCAAAAACCAAAACAAAGAAATCAAATCAATATAAAAAATAATTTACTAACACAACAAATCCCAATACCTACTTTCACAACAAAAACACTCATAGACGTAATCATATAAATCCATATAATTGACCACCACCGACTTTCACTAAAATCATTGCGTCTTGAGGATCATGGGAACATTACGATTCAGCACCATTGTGAAAGCTAGCCGCTGAACGGGTAATGACTAATGAGGAACCACAAACCTCCAGACAACAAAAGGAACATTTTTTTGTGTAAAAGTTACAAATTGAAACTTCTTCCAAGAAATTCATTTCTATATGAACGCCTGCAATTCCTCATGGTGGCGGTATTGATGTGTCAGGATCACATAAATGTCGAGTTCATGGCCACAACAAACTAACATGGCAAAGTTGCAAATAAGAAGTGCATGCTCAAGCAAATGTTGTAGATGTGCTAAGGAACCACTACTCTCCAAGAATGAATCTTCATGGAGAAGTATGACAAAAGGAAGTAAAAACAAAGTACCATCATCTAGAAGTTCCAGTATCAGAAATCAATGGCATTAAACTCTTGCTGGGGAAATGAGCTAGCCTGATTCTTCCACCTTGCACCAGATTATATATTGAATAAGAAGAAGAGATTCTATAGCCTGATAAGAATAGGTATCCGTAGTTCAGTATGAAAAATTTTTAACTGTAAAATACGATGCTACTTCCATTTCCACATAACCTGAACACTAGCCCAAAGTGAAATAATCTTATAGTTTAAAAAGAGCCTCTTCGCCCCCGATATGGTAAAATAACTAGTTGCAAAATGTCCCAATAAACTTTAAACCTTATAACATTTCCGAAGGACTAAACAAAATAATAGATACATGACATAAGTGATTGTTGACCCAATATAAACATATAAAAAAAGCAGATGTCTACACCTTCCTCTTATTCCTCATTTCTGCTCCAATTTTCCATGCCTTGCCCATTTGGTCTCAGTCACCATGACCGCATGGCTACAATGTCTTGCTTGCACTCAACCTCTACTCTATAAGAAAAACTAGCTAGCCTGCTTATTCTCTCTTTCTCCCTATTCTCATGCAACCAATGGGCCCATCTCCCTCTCATTCATCCTTCCATACTTTGACTCCTACCCCAGATCCCTCGTTATCTGCCTTCCACTCCTTACCCAAACCCTCATGAATAAAGGAGCAAGAAAGTTACGGCGGAAATACACTGAAGAAGGTGATAAATCCAGTGGCTTGTGAAGGAGAAGAAGAAGCTGTTAGAGAGCTCAATGGCAGGAGGCTTTGACAAACATATCAGCATATGAAGCCGAGAAAAAACTCAGTGAAGAAGACTCAATACAATGGTAGGTGAATAAAAATAAGCACTTGTGAAATGTGGGACTCAAGTTAAATCCTACTCAGATTTTGTTACCAAGCAACCCCTTACTCTCCCTTTCTCTCACCACCTCTCACCCCTCATTCTCCCTCTTTTTCTTTGTTCCTTTTGCAATGACTCACTCTCTCTCTCATTCCAATGCTCTATCTCTAAATCTCACCCAACTCTCGCTCTAATTGCTTAGGCCACCTCGCTCTCACTACTTCAGCTCTCTCCCTTGCCCAATTCTTCCTCAATCTCTCTTTCTCCCACTCTCTCTAAATCTAGCTCTCTTTCTCTGTTCATTATATATATAATAAAAAAAATAGGAAAAAAGAAACAAAAAAGAGCCAATAAAAATAAAAGGAAAAAAGAAATGATTAAAAAAGATAAAAAACAGAAAAGATATTCAAAAAGAAAGAAGAGGGTCATCTACTGTCATATCACATTGCCCACATCGTTGATTTTACTTTGTGATGGAATAAAGCACAAGCTTTAAAACACCTATAATCTTAATAGAGATACTTCTAGCATGATGAGTGGTATGGTTTAAAATTGTGCAATACAATGCTCGCCTTCAGGCTCGACTCTTAACATTTTTTTGAAAAATTATCAATGAGGCTTACGCCTCATTAGGAACAACACGAGGCTTATGCATTACATAATGTTCAGGCCAGCCTCAACAAGCGCCTTACTACAGTTCTAATGAAGACCCAATTAGGCCTGGGGTTTTCTTCAAAAAAAATAAATAAATAAAACAGCCCAAAAAGCTTTTCTTACTTAGCCATATAATAAACAACAGGGGATGTAATTGTTATTACCATCAACATAGTCATCGTTTTAAAATCTTATAAATATTCTTATTAATTAATATAGATTAGATAAAATAAAGATAAAGATTTAAGATGAGGAGAAATGAGGGAGCATGTATATATCTAAGGATGAAATCAGGAAGTAAATCATAATGCTGAATATTTTAACGAAGATTTGTTAAGTGATAGAAGTGCTAAATATTTTTAAATTCAGAAATTATAACCTTGGTGACTTGTTATAATACAAGAGATTAATTGTATTGAATTTATTTTAACATGCAATATTATGATGTCTTACTTTGATATTTGCATAACTCTTCCTATTTTATGATTTGATATTTTATTGTTAATAAGTTACAATGTAAGCTATTCATAGGTTAGGACGTTAATATGTTACTTTTTATTACATGTTTTGAACTTAACATAACACTCCTTATTTTGGGTAATTTGTTAATTTTTAGGCTTACACATAAAAATGTCTCGAACCATACACTTGCCACACATTCAAAAAAATGTCTCAATATCCAATTAAATAATTATAAACTTCAATGTGGAATTGTTATGAATTTTTCTTAATGACCCAACCCGCAATTACTTGTATTTTTAATATTCAAAATATTGCAAAAAACTTGATCCAAATTATATTCAGCGGCTAGTGTGAATAAATGTACTTATATGAAAATATATAATAAAACTTCACACTAGAGGTACTACGCAAGTATAAGTATCGTTTCAAATAATAAAAGATTTTCCTTAGAAACCTCAGTATCGATCCCATGAGGATAGTTGAAGTATTTAAATTGGATACCTAAACTCGAATGCAAATTCTATTTAGATTGCAGATTTAAATGAAAATGAATTGATAACAATGGTTAATAATAAATTAAAACAGATTAAAACAACTATAATTAATAGTTTAACAAAAGTAATTCTAATGAATTTGAATAATATGTAAAAATTTTTCCTCCTGCAATGAGATATTAATCTATGTAGGATTTAAATGAGTAAAAATATGATGATGTATCGTGAAAAATAGAAACATTCTTATTCTTTACCCTCTCCCAGTACTAGCAAATAACATTGGCTAATTTAGAGTTTTTCACCAGCTTGTGTTGTACTGATGACTAGATTCTGACCTCTCATCATCAGATTACCCACTGTGCTCTCTCTATAGGACCTACCATAGACCCTTACGATCCAAACTCTAAATCAAATTTGAAATAGAATCTAGTCTGACACCCTAAAAATATCAATTCTATGCCCATGAAAACTTATCTTCCTATCTATTTGCATTCCCCTTAGGTGATCATGACTCTGCCAAGAATGAAGTGTGACACTCACTAGTTGGGTGAAATCATAGCCCTCCCGGGTTTTTATGTTTCTCAACGAATTTTAACCTTATAAGTGGCCAATTTGTAAAGTCAATGAAGAATCAAAGAAACTGTCATCACAATATTTAGTAAAAAGAAATATTTAAATCATTCTCATCCCACAAGATTAATTCCCAAGAGCAAAGAAAAAAAACTACTCAGAATTCATGAAGAATAAAACAAAAACACCAAATTTGTATTGAAATCCAACTCTTAGAAATAAAAACTTAAACACAAATACAAAGTACCTTATGTCTTCTCCCCAACACAAATTCTGGAGTCTCCTTGAAGAAATCTCCAAACTCTTACTATTACAACACAAAACACACTAAAACATACACATAAACACTAAAGTGAGACTTAAAATGCTGCCAAAAAGTCCTTTATTTCGTCCAATTTTAATCATATTAATAGATCTCTGAAAATAACCATGAGTTGCTTCAAACACTCCTTCAAAATTCAGTCAAATTCAATAGATCTTCTAGAAGGGAAGTTCTAGCTTACTTTGGATAGAACTTTTTTTTTTGGGATGCTCACAATTGTGACCTCGACTTTTTGAGTGTGGTTGGCTAATGCTTATTTTTTGTAGCTTTTATAGCTTTGTTTTGTATTTTTTGATTTTATATTAAATGCAAAATGCACACCCTTCGCGGAATGACCTAGCTCAGAAATTTCAGGCAAAATACTTCCCTCCAGCTAAGACTACTAAGCTTAGGAATGACATTATCTCATTTATCCGAATAAATTGAGAGTCAATTTATGAAGCTTGGGAGAAGATCAAGGAACTGCATAGGAGGTGGCCACAAAATGTTTTACATGATTGGATGGTCATACAAACCTTTTACAATGAATTGGTAGATTCCCTAAGATCTATTATACATGTTGTAGGTGGTGGGTCGTTGATGCCTAAATTTTTTGAAGAAGCCTACCAATTGATAAAAGAGATGATTGTAAATAATTTTCAATGGCATGATAATGATCACACCCAAGAGAGTTGTCGGTGTACATATATCTGATGGCTTATCTATCCTTGCCACTCAAGTAGTGGCTATTTCTAGGAAGCTATATAATCTTGGGGTGAATTACATGCAAGGATTTACGCCAAGTGAAGGAATGTTGTATGGACTGGTGATAGATCCCAAGATGACCATTGTAGAGGCTATTAATGCCTTAGGAAACAATGCTCATAACCCCTATTCCAAAACCTACAACCCAGACTAATGAAACCACCCCAATTACCCTTAGAGCAATTATCACCA